ACTAACTACTAACTACTAACTACTAACTACTAACTACTAACTACTACCTACTACTACTACTACTACTATCATTATTGGGTTTTCCTCATCCCACAGCGCTGTCCATGTCGCGCCAGATGGCCTCAGCACGGAGGAGGGACTCCGCGAGCGCGGCAAGCGCCGCGGCGCCTGGCGTTGGGGGCCCAACGGTGATGCGGGGGCCCAACGCGAAATTTCAATGGTGATCTACTGGGATTTGATTGTTCATTTACTGGGAGTTTATGTGGTTTTTATATGGTTTACTGAGATTTTATAGTGATTTAATGGGATTTGATGGGATTTCAATGGTGATTTCATGGGATTTGATGGGAATTTTATGGGATTTGATGGTGATTGTAGGGACACAAAACCCTGAACCATCAGGGTTTTTGGTTGGTTTTTAATTATCAACGATATTGAGATATAGTCGATCAATATCCTGTTTGATTGATATTCATCCCACATCCTGACAATATCATCAACTATATCTCATCAACTATATCCAGGATAATCCCATCAATATCAACTACCCTCTGGTAAACTAACAGTTTGCTATAGAAAATCACCATTTACAATAGGTAAATCAACTATTTCTATGGTCCATTTTCAATAGCAAACTGTTCAATTACCAGAGGGTATATCCCATTAATATCCCATTGAATCACTATTTTTAGTCCCATTAAATCATGACAAATCCCATTGTTAATCACTATTAATCATAAATCTATAGTTGTCACTATAAAATCACTATAAAACTATGGTTGTCAGGAGTTATACATCCCAAAACCCTACCCACAAGGCCAGCTCTGCTGCTGCCTCGAGCACTGGCTCGGCGCGGCGCCGTAGCCCTGAGGGGCGGAAGGCGGCATTTTCGGAAATGGGGAAATCTGCTACTTGGGAAATCTGTAGGTACCCTCTGGTTATGACTAACAGTTTGCCATGGAATAGATGGCCCATAGAAATAGATGGTTTACCGAACTTAAAACTGGTGATTTTCCATGGCGAACTGTTAAATAACCAGATGGTAATAGAAGTGGTTTAGAGGAATCTATATAGGAATCTATAGGGAATCTATAGGAATGTTTTTGGTCGTTTAATTAGTGGTTCCTGAAGCACATCCATGTTATGGTGTTGGTGGATTTTTATCATTACCAAAAACACGTGAAATTTATCAGGCATGGAATTCTTACCTGCCAAATTGATGTGATTTCTTTAATATGAAACATTGTGAACTTACCATACCAACATCGGAAAAATAGGGACATTTACCAGCAGGTTTGATGATTTTGCCAACAAACATGTGGAATATACATGATTTCAGCAAAGTTGGGACGTTTGACGATGAACAGTGCAGGTTTTAGCAGCTAAAGTTGGCGTTTTACTCCAATGAACACGGGAATCTTCAATAGAAAAGCTTGGTTCTTGGCCAACAAAAGTGGTGAGCCATGGTATTTTAGGATCTTCAAGGGAACATGATGCCTGTCAATATTTGAACACATTGGGGTTTTATCAGCCACGATGGGCGTTTGATTGTTGGTTTGTTTTTCATTTTGGTGACCCAAGAGTCAAGGTATGGGAAGGTAAAGATGTTTGACATTCGCATGAAAGGAGGAACATATTTTTTGATTTGGTCCGCATGTGGCTAAAGACCTTCTTGCGTGACACGTCAACCCGGAAAAGTGGTGATATCCCCATGCTTGGTCGGTCACATTTTGACTAAATGTTTCATGCTTATTGCTGACTCCACATTTCTAATAGTTAGACTTCCGTGACATGAAATAGTCATGTTCATTTCATGACTCCACATGTCGTTCATAGTTAAGACTTCACTTTCTAGTTATTTCTAGTGACATTTTCATGCCTTGGTGAAGACATACTAAACAAACTGTACTTATAGTAGTATCATAGAACTGGATGATGGGAAAATTTACAGGAAAGCCCATCAAATTTGATGGTAAAAACCCATTGGTTTCCGGTTAAGATTTTCCCAACAAAACCAATCCATTGATAGTAGCTTAACGGCTTTAGTCGGTTTCACCAAGGTTTCACCGACTCGCCAGGCAAGCACTGCCACCGCTGCCACCGTTCCGCAGTCTCCTCCCAGAAAGAAAGCGCAGGAGAGCGACGTCGAAGACGAAGCGAAAGTTTTGGGATTTTTTGCCCAGAAAAATCACAGAAAACATGGGGGAAATGATGGATTATTCCCTTTCATTTCCGCCTTTTGGTTTTTTTTGGGGATTGAAAACATCAGGAAAGAACTATACGGGGAATCTTTTTTTTGGGTGTTTTCGTAAAGGGAATAAGTATAGCAACATGCGAAAATCATGCGTTTCCGACCTGGTTCGGTGTACGAATTTGGGAGGACTTTCCATAAGGTGCGAAGTCACCAACGATGGAACATCTTGGTAAAGCCATTCATCCAGTAAGTCAACATAGCTATTTTTCACAAATGACCCATTTATATAGCTATAGATATGATTTACCTTCTAAACACGATGATTTTCCGGTTCGATCTTCGCAGACCTGCAAGGTCAGGAAACGCATCATTCTGCGATTCGAGTGGTGATTTCGAAGTTCAGAATGGTCCACTTAAAAACAGGGTAAGCCATGCCATCCACTGCTTAAACGCCCAAATTTCATGAGATGATCTCAATGCAATTCACATCTATTCAGATCTATTCAGAATTTTTATGGGATTTAACTTCAACAATTCAATAGTTAAGCCAGTTACGACCTCATTCTCCAGCTGAAAAACCACTTCTCCAGGACGAAAAAGAAGCTCCAATCAGCCCACCCACAGCACAGGTGCTGGGGACGGGTAGAAAAAAAAACATGGTTTTGTTTTATTCTTCTGGGAAAATCTTCACCGGAAACCATGATAACCATGGCTATTCTTCTCAAATACGATGCTACCAAGTGGCAATTTGTGCCTCCGGGGTTAGAATGGCGACCTTGCTGGCCGACATATTTGCTAAATAGGTACATAATTGGGTTTACCATGGGATTGAAAGGTCCACATGTTCAATAAACCCTACCCAGCGGCTACTCTCTAAGATTTGCCTTACAGGAAGTTGGCTCACTTCAGCAACAGGAATTGGGTAGCTTGCCCAGCAGTAAGCAACATGTGGATTTCAACCAATCGGACCCCCTGGGAAGATTTGGCAGATATTTCCCCCAACATCCCCCAACATAGGGATTGATCTCCCGGATAATGCAAATATGGCCAAGTGCAATGAGGATTGACCGAAACAGCACGGTGATCCTATATAATTATAAATATATATATATGACCCAACCCAGATGTCACAGACATGTTGAACAAACAGTGCTGTGAAGTAGTTGTGGTTCAAGAGATCTGCGATTTCAAGGTGAAACGTGCTCAGACTAAAGCTGCTGAGTTGCATGAATCTGTTGTTCCTCTTGCTTGGCGGGCTGGGGGTGGCAACTGTCTTGGTTTGCGTTTGAAACAACGTACTGCTTCTCGCGTTGTCATTTGGAGAGCTAAGTCTGTGCCGTTTGCTTGGCCTGAAAGTGACCTCACATCTGCCCTCAAAGAGGATGGATGGGAGGAAATTTCAGTAGTAGCTTATCCTACTAGGAAAATTCGACCTTGGCTCCTTCGTTCGCTGCAAGGCGCCTGATTCTTTGGATCGTGTTGCGGGCATTAGTTCTGGAAATGTGATGACTGTTTTGGAACGTGCGGGGCCTATGGGTCCTACTGCCCGTAATTTCAAGAAACTGGGGGTCCAACCAAGAGTGGCTAAGAGGGCCGGGCCAAGTATTCCTCAACCTATTGATCTTGAACAGGATGAGGAGCACGAGCCTGACGCCACGCTTATGGACACTCAGGTGTCTGAAGATGCAGATCAAGGTATGGAACTGAGGTTTCGGAAGGAGGTGTCAAACGTCCTGGAGCAACTCCCCCGTCCCAACCTACGCGCAAGAAAGAAAAAATTGGACCCGGCCCAAAGAAATTGTTTTTCCTGGTTTCACTAATTGATTTGGATTGTGGGGCAGATGGTTCGCGCGGTTTGAATTGTATCGCGGTTGGCACTGCAATTATGCGAGGCGGTAAGTTCAAAGATTTGGAACCAAAGAAGGCGACCATGGGTGCCACACTTCGTGTCCAAGTGGCCACTCACATTGCCAAGTCAGAGAAAGATTGCAAACCTCTTTTGTCTGCTGATGTTTCTAATGCTTCAGTTGCCAGAGAAGATGGAGATATACCCACGACGTGGGAGTCCTGGTTGCATGCTATCCTACGCCATCGGCGTTGGATTCGTGGATTGACAATAAAGGCCGCAGCGACCCGACTTGGAATCAAAATCATTGTTGTTTGGAAGGCTCAAGATGGCAGTTGGGCTCTCCTATAGCGTTTGGCACTTGTCAAAAGAAAGAGAAGCCTTGTGCTCAACGAGGCAGCTGGCCATTATATTTTGTTGGTGGCTAACACTCCTGAAGATGTCCCGGTTTCATGGATATCTGCTGGACAGGTTGACATGTTTAATAGAATGCTTTGCGGAGTGCTGGTGGTAGCACTAAAACCTCCTCTGTTAGATGGCTTCCTTCGAAGACTCCTTCCAGGAGATCTGTTGCTGCTAGTGAAAGCGACAAAGCCTCAGAGGTGCAATGGTTGCCTCCAGTTACTCCTTCTAGGGGGAAGAACAAAAGTGCTGCCGGTAATAGTTGTTGGTTGCCTCCTGACACACCTGGTGGTACTGTGTCTTCTGAACTTCGCTCTGCTGGCTCGAAGCGCAAAAAGGAGGAAATTGTTGAACCTGATGAGAGGCAACAAGCGAAAGAGCCGTTTCATTGGATATGTAGCATTTGTCAGTTGAAGATCGGAGCCACTTCCAAACCGATCCTTTCTCAAAAGCGTGCTGATCACGTGAAGTATAGACACAAGGGTCGTAACTCGGAAGCAGGCGAGATCCGTGCAAGGGTTCCGGTTGTGGTTGCGTCTGCTGCCATTCCTCTTATAAGGAGCGTGTGTGGAGCTGTCCTTATTGTGATGTCGGGCTTCCCCATTTGAATAGGTATGCTTTAACCATAAGTAGACAGGCCCATATGGCCACTGTGCACAACGCAAGCTCAGTGGCGGTCAGGTGGCAAAAAAGATGTGGAAGAAGTGGCGAATCAACCCTGATTTGGTTCCATCACTAACTGCAGGGCGTCTTTCGGCGTCTTTGAAAATGAAGACCAGAAATAGGGCAAAAAAGGATTTGACCAAGAATGGGCATGATCTTGTGCCGGTTGAGCTTGATTGGTCGGCCTGGCCGGCTGCGTCGGCGTCTACAAGCGGTCGACAGGTTGTTGGTCTCACTTGTCGAAAATGTTGGATCATTTTTCGTGGATCTTGCCAAAATAAAAGCCAGCGCAAGGCTTCTGATGGTAAAGTTCCTTACCCCAAATTAGTTTGTGGGATAGGCTGCGTGCAAACGTCAATCGTCCTAAATTGTTGCAGGCCACTGAAACTCAGGCCGACGCTCGTTTTGATGCGGCGGCTGGTTCAACGCGTAAGCTTGATTTCGACCCTAAAGGTCATGATTGGCATGAACTGTATGTTGACGCTGTGAAGTATTATTCTGGTAAAGCTCCTTGCAAGAAGAAAGTCAAGTTGTACACTTGCTTTTGTTGTCGGTTCTTGGCTAAAAGTGTGTCAGGTGCTGGTCATGTTGGCTTGAGCAGGAAAGCTTCCAGCAAGACGGTGGACAAATGAGCCTTGGCTAATATTTGGGGCATTTCAGTTGCCGATGCCATTGCTTGGCCGGATTTTGAAGGCTGGATCAGAGACCTCACTCATCCTGGGCCGCACTTGCATGTGGTGTCCATTAATGCTGGTGGGCTTGCTGGTACTTGGCGTGCTGTTGAAGAGTTGATTTCTGTTGGAAAGGTTGATGTGCTTGGCGTCCAGGAAGTTGCTGCTTCTGATTCGGAGCTGTTGGCTTTGCGTCGCGCTGCTTTGAAAAATGGCTATCACATGTTTCATGTTGCTGGTAAGCCTACCTGTGATGGTTGGGGAGCTGTGCGTCAGCGTGGTGGTGTCGCTTTATTTGCGCGCCTTCTTTTTAAGATCCATCCGGCTATTTCGTTTGTTGGCTTGGATTCTCAATGTGTTGGCGTGTGGTTGGATGGGTGGTTTTTGGCTACGGCGTATGCTCCACCTGGCTACAATGACGAGCCGGTGCTTGAACTCGCTTCTGGGACGTCTTTTTTCTCAACCTTGGTTTGGCTGGTCTTTGGTGACTTCAATGAACTTGTTGGCGCGAGCAAATTGGAAATTGCGCTTTCTGCTTTTGGCGGGGCGGCAGTTTCCGTTGATAAGCCCACGCGTTGGGAAGGTCAAAGATGTGTGGATTGGGCTCTTACCAGCCGTCCTTTGACGTGTGATCAGCCTGAGCTCCTTGATGTGGCCTTGAGTGATCATATCCCTGTTTCTTTGGTTCTCACTTCAAGCCCAAACTCAGGCAGATCAGAACTGGCCCTGGATTTCTCCCAACCTTAATCCGACATGAAGCGAAGGCTAGGAGACCACCAGTCAAGCAAAGACCAAAGTCATGGAATATAGCACTGCCAGGAACGATTCTGTCCCCAAGCAACAGCATGTCCATCACTTCGGAGAAGCATTGTGCAATCATGACCTGCAGAAACCTGGATGTACGTCACGTCATCCAAGGGAGGAATGTCGCATTGCCCAAAGGATTCAGTCCGCAAGCCACAGCACAGCCATCACTTCGGAGAAGTGCCGCATGACGGCCCCCTGCAGAAACCTGGGTGTATCGCGCACCCTCATCCAAAGGTGGGATGTCGCATTGACCATTTCTATTCAATCCACGAGCAACAGCACGCGCATCACTTCGGAGGAGCAGGGTGAAAGTATATTTGCCGGCAGAAACCTGGGTGTATGTTACACCTTGTCCAAGGGTGGAATGTCACATGATCCCGAAAGATCAACGCCGCACGCAAAAGCACAGCCATCACTTCGGAGAAGCATTGTACAATCATGACCTGCAGAAACCTGGATGTACGTCAGACCGTCATCCAAGGGAGGAATTTTGCATTGATCGTACTCATTGTCTCCACAAGCCACAGAACGCCCATCGCTTCGGAGAAGCACTGTATGATAGTGTATGACCATCCCCCGCGGAAACTTGTGTGTATACCACACCCTCCTCCAAAGCAGGAATGTTGCATTGATCGTATTCATTCTCTCCGCAAGCCACAGCACGGCCGTCACTTCGGAGAAGCACCGTATGATCAATGCCGGCAGAAACCTGGGTGTACGTGTGAAGCTTTTGAGTGAACTACCCCCAAACGAGCAGCGCACGTGGACGGGCACTAAAGAAGTCAGTGCCCTCACCCAATCCACAAGGCACAAGAACCCCGAACATAGTACCAGGACCCGCCAGTAATCAACCCCAAGCAAAAAGGAGGGAAAACAAGGCAATCACAAAAATAACCCTGACAAATGAGCAAACATGTGCCGGGACCGACAAAGCACTAAGAGCCATGCCGGAGATCCCAAATCTACGTTGCACAAACACAAGCCAAGCATGAAAACGATCCATGTCAGCAACCGAACGAGAAATGACTCACCCAAACCGAGCCACGAGAACTTCACCTGGTCGGGATGGGATATCCATATTACAACGTCGACAATGACAAGTCCACACAATGTGGTCAAGCCAATGTCGTGACAACCTGGCCAAATGCAAGTGTCATCAACAGCAGGGGAAAAAGAACCCCCTGTTGCCACAGCACGCGCCTCTGGTCCAGAAGCAGCAAACTTCCGAACACCATCCCAATCAATTCTACGAAACGCACCGTTGTCAAAACAATCAAGATCCCAATCGCGACGATTTGATTGGCAATGCTTATGAAGGCACCAAGCGCGCCAAGCATTGCGGATCACATGCTGCCGAGCACCCGCATCATCGCTGACAGTAAAACCAAGCACGGAGCAAGACAAAGCATGACTGAATTTCCAAGTATCATCACAAATCCATCCATGAGAACAAAGCCAATCATTTAACGTACGGGTAGGAGTCCCAGACACAAAAGACCAAGTCAGGGTCCGCGCGCGCTGGGTGCGAGAAAGACCACCAAGTGAGTGGCAAATAAAACACCCAAGTGAAGACCACCACCAAAGATAGCCGCACGAAGCCAAACAGAAGCGCTACACAACTGCCGGCTGCCCATGTGCACGCAAGAAAAACAAGACTTGCACGATGTTAAGGGCGGAGCCCGGGCAATCCATCCATACGCCACCTTAGAAACAGCGAAACTGCGACAAGCCCGCATGTAACATTTAAACGGCACGCCAATACAAGCAAGAAGCGGCAAAACGCGCTTACACGCGGTCACGCGTTCCAACTCCCTAGGCATCAAACCACGACAAGCAACCATGCTACAAGAACCTAACAACTCAGCGTTAGTAGCAACGTATTCCGGCCAAAATTTACGAAGAGTGGCTCTTTGTGCCGGAGTGGAAGCAACCACGACAGTTTTCTGCTGATTCTCAAGCAAGCCAACTGAAAAGAACCAAGCACACCAAGCATGGTATCGCTCCATCAAGTCCCAGACCTGCGCACCATTGAAGGCACGGTCACCAACAAAAACACCAGAACGAGTACAAACGCTTTCAACGGATGCCCACCCAGCCCAAGTCCACAAGGCTATCACCAATGGTCCTAACGGATCCCCTTGAGGCATGGCAGGCGCCACAGGGGTGCGGACGGCATGAGTGCGAACACCAAAAGAAACCCAACGCTCTTGATAAAGCCAAACTTTGGTCGCGACCAAAACAAAGTTGGGTTCCCAACCCAAGTGAACCAAAAGGTTTTTAGTGACACTGGGATCAAGCAGATCATAAGCCTTAGAATAATCCAAGCTAGCAATGTAGCCCCCAGCCATCAACTTGTCCAGAAGATCAACAATAACCTCCCCAGTAGAAACAGCATGGGCAACAGCAAAGTGTCGCGGCACGCGTTGGCACATCGAAGCCCGCAAACAACCTTTGGCCCAAGCACTGGCCCAGATTCGCCACCAGACCGACATCACAGTGATGGGTCTCAAATTCGTGACTGAAATCTGGTTCAAACTATTGACCTTACCAGGCTTGGCCAAGGAAATCATTCTACTTTCACAAAATTGAGCTGGCACATTGCCACTCAACATCCAATGTTTGCCAAGGATAGCGAAAACCTTGAACACTTCAAATGGCAACGGAGCAACTTCACGCGAGGTCCAACCATCCGGCCCATGACTACCTTTCCCACCAGCAGCGATGGCTCGAAGGCGTTGGGCGGAGGGCGGTTCCCAAGAACAAGCAGCACCACAAAAGAGACCAGCAAGCAAAGAAGCAACACGGTCAGACAAACCGGGTTGACGGGCACGAGCTTGATTCCAAAAATCCGACCAATATTCATGGACTGCTTGAGCAGCATCCACATCAGATTCAGCCAAACGTCCTTGCTGAAAAATAACCGAGACACCAACCGGGCTGGAAAGACTCTTGAGCCACCGCGACAACTCAGCGTCCGCAGCAACCATTTTGCGACGCCAATTTCTAATATTGGCATTGCGGTTGGCCTCCTCAAGCCTGCGCAGCTCGCCCTGAATGACAATGATATGCTCAAGAACGTGACGCAAGGACAGATTGTCACCAAAACCTTTCCCCAGTTGCTTTTTAAGGGCAACAAGTTCCATAACCTGGGCTGCGGACAAATCAGATTTCAAACTACGCGAAAGCAAGCGCTTGTATTGAAAGCACCGAGCCAACAGCCGCCGTTTCTTCCGAACAGCAAGTTCACCAACGTGATGTCGGACTCCTGCCTGCATGGGCACGAGGATCGCTTGTACGCAGCAAGCTGGCCCTTCCAAACAGTTTGGTGAGCCATACGCGAACACACACAGATGGAACCTCAGGAGAAAGCAAGCCCACAGTACTAAGCCAATCATAGGCATCAAGAACGCAGCAAGTAAGCAGATGCTGAAAACTATCCCATCCTTCTTGAACGGAGATAGTGCCAGAAGTCTCAAGGTGAGTCACGAAGTTCTGCATTTCAATGTTATCATTCCCATTGACCACAATGGCTTTTCCCACAGGGCATGGTCGACACCCTGGGGACACACCAACTGCGCAGTGCGAAGCAGAGAAGCAGCGGAGCCGACCTGACAAAGAACAGCTTGTTTGGTCTTACCTACCCGATGGTAACTTGTCAGACGTCGTTTGCACTGCAGATCCATTTGTCACACTGGCAACGGTGTGTTTGCAGCACGAGGTGTGAAAAGGAAAACCTGCAGATGTTGAAGGTGGTTATGGATAAACCCTGTGGTTGGCATCCCAATGGTTGTATCCATAATGGTTATGGAAAATCCCAACCAAAAATTGACAATTTGGGGGTAACCATATTTCAGGTAACCTGGAGATGTCATATGGGGTTTCCATAAATGGTGGTATCCAAAATGGTTGGTTTATTTCATGGAAAATCCCAACCAAAAAGGGATAATTTGGGGGTAGCCGTATTTCAGGAAACCACCATATGGGATTTGATGGATGACAATGCCCCAAAGATACTTGTATGACTTGTATGATTGAAATTCATATGCTGCCTTTGCTGTCCCTTGAATATCGTTGAACGGTTTCCTGTGACCATTTTGTATGACCGCTTTGGTTTTCTGTTTGAACATGTTGATCACAGGCTGGTGTAGGCACTGATGTCTGCTACCATGAGGTCTGATCCCATCCTATACTTTCCCATGGTTTTCCCACTGGAAATCATCATCCCCTCTCTATGGCGCCCTGAAAACTTCCTCTCCGTGTCAGGGTGGCATAGCACCTCCACCAGGACTGGAACGGCCAGGAGCTGAGATGTTTTTAATGGGACATCAATGGGATTTACTATGACTGGGAAATCATGGGATTTACTATGGGAAATAACATAGTTGGGAAATCAATGGAACTTAATGGGATTTAGTTATTATGGTTACTATGATTTGCTGATTTCCGAATTGATTGGAACATACTTCCATCCCCCCAAAGCACCAAACCAAACCAACGCTATAAACCAACGGCCCCAAACGATAGTGAACTTGGTTTATAGCTTGAGTAACACGGCTTTACTTACTGGTGCGTTGCTAAACGTAGGGTTGCTGGATGGGTTGCTGGGGGCTGGGATGATAGTTAACCAGTGGATCATTCCCTTGGGATGAGACATTCGAAACTCCAAAGATCTGGTGGATCTGGTGGAAAAAAACAGAACGGCAACCCAACAGTTCGCCATGGAAAAACCACATTTTTTCATAGGTCAAACATCTGCAAATGGGTAATTTTCCACGGTTATGTGAGATTAGCAGAGCATAATCTGGGATTTAATGGGTAGATTAATGGGATTGAATGAGCATATCATGGGATTTTACGGGGATAAAAAAACCCAAAAAATCACACACCCTGCAGCCAGATATGAGATCTTACCACCCATGAATTTGGGCCACTTGGTTTTCAATTGGGTTGCAAATGTTACAGTAGATCCCCATTTACAAGTCTTTGGTGCATCATATAGTACGTAGATAGATATGAAATGAAAAGGCCGAAGTGTTCAGTTTGGTGAACTGTCAGAATTTATGCAGAAACATGGGAAAGTGAATGAAACATAGTGATGCATTTTTTGTTCTGAGTCTCTGCGCATACAATCAAAAATACACGTATGACATACATATATAAGACCTGGTTGGGGGTTTGGAACATCAATTTTATTTCCCATCATATTGGGAATTTCATCATCCCAACTGACGAACTCATATTTTTCAGAGGGGTAGGCTCAACCACCAACCAGAATATATACTAAACCCATATCAAAGTAGGTATACTATAGTTACATCAGTTATATCCCCTATAAACACTAGTTAACCATAGTGTTAACCAAGGGCATTTTCCAAAAACTTCTCGGAATAATGTTGGATGATTTGGATGACCCTCTGAGTCAAGGTCAGAACTGAACATATCTTGAAGAACCGATCCATTTAATCATTACTCTTTGCTGTTAATCTGTCAAAAAGAATATATGTTTATAATTGTATATATATATATATATTTGTGTATATGTATATGTATATGTACAATACATATATATATATATATGAATGTTTTTGCTCATCCAAGTAATTTATCATCACCCCGACCATTCCCATTGAGTTGGTTATACTCAGAACACTGTTTGGAATGATGAACCAAGCAAAGAATATAATCCGCTCGTGGGGATCATTTTACATCGACCCCTCTCCACGGGCAATGGTTTCCTTGCGGTTTGAGTCGGTACTCTGGAATTCGGAGGGATACTTCATAGTGATAATCCCTTTCAATCCCTTTCGAATTTCACATCGTTTTTTTGGATTACAAGAGCAGCTTGGTTTCAGGATGTTTCAGGGATACTGGTTGGTGGTTTGGAACATCAATTTTATTTCCCATCATATTGGGAATTTAATCATCCCAACTGACGAACTCATATTTTTCAGAGGGGTAGGCTCAACCACCAACCAGAATATATACTAAACCCATATCAAAGTAGGTATACTATAGTTACATCAGTTATATCCCCTCTAAACACTAGTTAACCATAGTGTTAACCAAGGGCATTTTCCAAAAGCTTGGCGTTTTACCATCGTCTTACCATCAACAACTGGCGTTTCCTTTGTTTCCTCGGGCTTGGACTTCACCAATTTATTTGGGCCCAAACAAGCTGTTCCAAAGTGCAGGTGAAAATCCGATAGTAAAATTCCCATCAGATATTACCGTAATTATACCATACATTATATGATATTATATAATCATAGTCCATATATGTTATTACATGTTATTCATTGTTATTCCCATTCATATAGTAACCCCCCAAAAAAAATCATGAAAAGTAGTGGAAATGACCGAAAAGTCCAAGCTTTTCGGCACCTGGCAGATTAAGCCATGGCCAGCCCCAGGCAACCAGGGAACTTCCTGGGACCCCCTCCTGGCTTTGGCGGCTTCGGCCCACCACCCGGCCTTGAGAGTCCCATGTTAGGCAGGGAAAATCATCTTCTCGGGGTGAAATCATCATGTTAACCCTGGATTAATTGGGAGGGTACAAGGTGGTGCCCCATAGTTAGCTAAGTTGGCTTATAACTCCCATAACTATGGTTTATGGTACTTAAAACTATAGTTAATGGGATTTATAAACCAACTTATAACTGGGGGGCACCATCCTGTACCATTTATGTACCATCTAAAGTGACTATTTGGAGGGTACCCCCTAAAAAAAATTACACCGGCATAGACCCCAGATAGAAAAGGTTGGAACTGATGGTTCCCAACGTGGGAACCAAAGGTTACCATGGCAAGGAACTGCCGGTTCCCAGACCTTGAAACTTACGGTCCCCAACCTGGGAACCAGAGGTTACCATTGCAAGGAATTGCCGGTTCCCAGAAGTTAGAATTTATGTTTTCGAAGCTAAGCAACTATCATTGTAAGGAACTGCGGATTCCCAAAGTTTGAAACTCATGGTTCCAAACCTGAAAAAGCATACGTTACCAGTGGAAGGATCTGTTGATTCCAAAAAGATCAAAATCATGGTTCTTAATGTTGTTTTGCTTTGCTTACTGAGCCGGTAACAGAACCTTTTGTTTTGCTTAATGGACCGGTAGCGGAATGTTTGCGTTCGGCTGCTGGGCCGGCATAAAAATGTTTTTTGGCACGAAAAAGGTGCATGTTAAAATGATATGAAAACAGTTTCTTTACAACTTTATGGTTTTGCTTAATGGACCGGTAAAGAACGCTTTGTTTTGCTTAATGGACCGGTACCAAAATGTTTGCGTTTGGTTCATGGCAAGGAACTGCCGGTTCCCAAAGGTTGGAACTCACTGTTGCCCGTGGGAAACAGGTTACCATTGCAAGGAACTGCCGGTTCCCAGAGGTTGGAACTCATGGTTCCCAACCTGGGAACCAGAGGTTACCATTGCAAAGAACTTCCAATTCCTAAAGGTTGGAACTGATGGTTCCCAACGTGGGAACCAAAGGTTACCATGGCAAGGAACTGCCGGTTCCCAGGCCTTGAAACTTTCGGTTCCCAACCTGGGAACCAGAGGTTACCATTGCAAGGAATTGCCGGTTCCCAGAAGTTAGAATTTATGTTTTCGAAGCTAAGCGGCTATCATTGTAAGGAACTGCGGGTTCCCAAAGCTTGAAACTCATGGTTCCACGCCTGAAAAAGTAACGTTACCAATGGAATCTGTTGATTGCAAAAAGTTAGAACTCATGGTTCTTAATGTTGTTTTGTTTACTGAGCCGGTAACAGAACCTTTTGTTTTGCTTAATGGACCGGTAGCGGAATGTTTGCGTTCGGCTGCTGGGCCGGCATAAAAATGTTTTTGCACGAAAAAGGTGCATGTCAAAATGATATGAAAACAGTTTCTTTACAATTTTATGGTTTTGCTTAATGGACCGGTACAGAACGCTTTGTTTTGCTTAATGGACCGGTACCGGAATGTTTGCGTTTGGTTCATGGCAAGGAACTGCCGGTTCCCAAAGGTTGGAACTGCCTGTTGCCAACGTGGGAACCACAGGTTACCATTGCAAGGAACTGCCGGTTCCCAGAAGTTGGAACTCATGGTTCCCAACCTGGGAACCAGAGGTTACCATTGCAAGCAACTGCCGGTTCCCAGAGGTTGGAACTCATGCTTCCCAACCTGGGAACCATAGGTTACCATTGCAAAGAACTTCCAATTCCTAAAGGTTGGAATTGATGGTTCCCAACCTGGGAACCAAAGGTACCATGGCAAGGCTGCCGGTTCCCAGACCTTGAAACTTACG